GTAGTAATCTTCCTTTCGTTTGTAGTTGAATAGTTCAAAAGTTATAAGCGATTGTTTATAGGCTAAATAGGCAACTTCGTCAATTTTTAAGATTTTTGAAATCCGGGGTTTCCATGTAATTCAGAATTATTTATTCTTGGGTTCATGTTCAATTCTTCGTAAACTAATTATTTGACAAACATTCAAAACGCTTTGAAACGAAACTTTTGCGTTCAGTCGCTCAAAGTACTTTGAGCGCGCTGCGAGGTACCACTACTTTGTTCATAAAATGAGATCTTGAACATTTTGTTCCCGCTATAAAGCCATTTGTATCTTATTTTTGAGATCCTAAGATATCACTTAAAATAAAGAAAAATGTGACTCCGAGGAAATTGTATGTACAATTAAATTGTATGCATGTACATGTACATTACGATGTACAGGAGGCTTGAAGAGGTTAAAAAGGTGACGATCCGTAAAGGGCTCTCCGCATGAAGCAGAAAGATCCGAGAACGAGAAGCTCCTATCCGGGCGAGGTACGCGTGGCGAGGAACAAGATATACGCATTAAACCGAACACGCTGTCTCTCTATCCCTTTCCTTCTCTCGCGCGACACAATACACCTACGAGATAGCTTGTTCACGCTGATAGGCAACCGCGTTACCCACACATGCCTGGCCAGGAAATCGCACTCGATCATCTCGCCAGTAGTTACACTAGTTACGGCACAACCCTCGAAGGGCGGTGGAAACGGAGAAAAAGCACGCTCGCAATATGGTAACACCATAATGCGGGTAAATAACATCGTGATATACACATAAACACGTTCGACGCACGAAACATTTACGCGGACATTTATATGGACGCAGAAATAATAAAAGAATAAGAGAGGACGATTTCTCTACCGTTCTCTTATCCGTTACCAAAAGACCAAGGACGGACTGTCACTACCCGAAAACAAATACAAAATCTCGCGAAAGCTTGTGAATCTTCATCTCCGGGTAAAAGCTTTTCGTTTGTTGACTCTTTCGTTTATCTACTCGGAAAAATTCTCTTTTGTTATTGAAAAGAGATGGTTTGTGTAAATAACCTCTCAATCTTTTCCTAATTATGCAGAGACATTTGCTAACGCGTAATTTAATATTCTTGCGGATCTTTTTATTGGAAATTATTCTACGTAAATTATGCAGACACAAAATTATCTACGTATGTATACATTAGGTGGACCGGAAAGTAATGTCGTTTTTGCCATCTTAAATACTTGTTTAACATTTATCAGCTCATTGATTTTTCTGGCATTGAAAATTTGCACACTAGGTGACAAAAGGCTGCTGACAATGAGGGCGATTGTATAATGAATTAAAGATAGAAATTTATTGGAAAGTTTGAATTTAATGTAAGAGAAACGACATTACTTTTCGGTCTACCTAATAAATACAATGTGTTTATGTAGTACTATATCTAAGCCTACAAACAGGGGCGGTTTTAGCAATATTGGCGCCTCGGGCAAGATTATCGTGGCGCCCCTTCAGAGGCTTCAAATTTTTAAAAAAAGAAGACAAGGTAATAATTTTAAACGATGAATCTGTAGCTAGATTGTAAAGATTGTTAAACTACGATATACAGAGTGTCCCAAAAATGTTGTAACACCTTGAAAGATGTGGTTCGGAAGGTAATTTGAAACAACTTTTTCCTTAGCGAAAATTTTGTTCAAAGCTTCGTTAAAGAGATATTAACGAAAAATCCCGACCAATCAGAGCGTGAGTATACCGTTGAAGCGGCCGCAGTAGGCGTGGCTACGCGCTTGGCGACCGCGCTCATACGTTACCGCGAGCGCTCCATCGGCATACTCGCGCTCTGATTGGCCGAACTTTATCTGTTAATATCTTCTCAACGAAGCATCGGACAACATTTTCGCTAAGGAAAAAGTTGTTTCAAATCACCTCCCGGACCACCCTTTTCAAGGACCTACAACATTTTTGGGACACCCTGTATACCTAAGCCTACAAATTTTGAACATATCCATTCCACGATTTTCATAATTGAATACCTAAGAAAAAATAACCAAACGGCACAGCCAAAAAATAACTATTAGCACAGTTGCCACTTTATACGTCGCTAAATTATAGCAAACGTCGTGCAGAAAACTAATGTAGGAAGATAAACGTATTTTCCTGTAATAATAACACTTGCGTTCTAACACTTGGCAAAAAATACGCAATGTCATCCGTTCTTCGTCGAATCAAAATTCGAATTTATGTTACCGAATTAAACATTTCTCAGCGAAGAATTAAAGATATAACTGCTTTTAGATTTTCTTTTCTTTTATAATAATAGCAAACTCGAATCAGTCTGCAACAACTCTCTTTTGACTATAATGTTTGTTCACTCTATTATAAATAAAGTATGAAGTATTCATTTAATTTATTCCCGAAGAGAACGCGAAGTAAGGTAAAAAGTTGATCGAATAAACATTACATTAAGAATAGGAGAGATTTTCCTCGAAGTAAATTGAATTTTATAATCGACAAAAGAACCAAGCGAACGATATTAACGAAAGTTAACGAATACATAACTATAATTATAATAATTATAATAAGTAAACGATAACGAAAATTGGAACGAATAAACATTATATTAAGGATAAGAGAGAATTTCCTCAAAGTAAATCAAATCTGGTTTTATAATCGACAAAAGAACCTCCAAGCGAACGATATAACGATATTGCTGCGCAAAATAAACATGCCTTTCTTAGATTCATATTTAAAAATATAACCGTTCGATCGAATAAATGACACAACTATACCACCAACTATACATACATTAATCTGTTTCGTTACCAATCAATAAAATTCGACTAAATTTCTACTTGATTAATTATTGGTTTCGGGGTCCGAGAAAGTCTAGTTCCGCCACTGTCTTGTACTTACCGATTTGTATTATCAAGCGAGGTAGCACGATCCACCGAGCCTGGAGTCGTTCCCGTGGGTCAAATGATTTTGACGATCCCCATGGTTTTTCCGAACTAACGACGCACTCCCGGACTCGTCCTAATCACGTCGAGCCGCGCACCAGAACCCTTTCGATTGTCCTTTGTGTCGAAATCCGGCGAGAGAAGTTTTGACGGGTGCGAGACTGCAGCAGCACGAGCACTCACACGATCACCTCGAAGGTCTGTTGCCAACTGACCCAGCCAGTGACAGCTTTCTGCGGGCTAGCACGCTCGCCAACTCATGTTCGATGAAATAACTGCTCGATAACTAGTACGATGTTACACAAAGGCCCACCTGAAACAGAATTCCATCTCTTATGTCGAAATCATCTCAAATAAGAATGATTTTACTTCGTTAGGAAACTAACTTCTAACATTTTGGAAAACCGTGGTTCGATTATTATTGAGAAATCTAGACGAGACTTCGTCGATAACGCGAGGGTATCATCTACGACTTCCGCATAAAGGAATGGGAATTAATAATGGTCGAAATTTAGTATTGTCGATGGTTAGAGGTTAATTAATAATACCTATCGTAACCATGCTTCTCGAAGGACACTTGAGATCTGGATTTTGTTGTATTACCGTTTCGTGGAACGTACGCTGAGCCCGAGAATCGACAGTGAACGGAGTGGAAAAATATTGGAGATGGTTCCGTAAAGGAATTTTTTTTTCGAAAGTTGCCAGCACTGTCGATCATATGGCAATCAGCTGTAATTCACGTTTCGTCAATAGACATATGCTTGCACTTGGTTTAAGCAATCCATATGCGAAAACATCGATTGATACATATTATTTGCAATCAGAATTATCAGTTACACTCTTCTTACTAAAAAAAACAACGTAATCTTACTTTTTACTTATCGAAACTGAATGGCGAATAAAAAGGATTTAACCTATTTAATTATTCGAATGTTACTGTCTACGTACTGTCTATGTATATATTAAAGGTTTTCCTATAGCTTTCTTAATCTATTTTATTCATGTTTATTACAACATTACTGACAATATAAATTATCTACTTGAATTCGCGATACAATTTGATTATTATCCTATTTAATTATTCGAATGTTACTGTCTATCTACTGTCTATGTATATATTAGAAGTTTTCCTATAGCTTTCTTAATCTATTTTATTAATCTTTATTAAAACATTACTGGCAATATAAATTATCTACTTGAATTCGCGATACAATTTGATTATTATGACATCAATTGAAGGTTCTAGTTATTCATTATAAATGATACATCTAGGTCAATAAAATTTATGCTCCAGAAATTCGTTTATCTTATGTAATACCCATTATATTTACATACACAAAATATGTGTATGCAAATAATCAAATTGTAAAAAGGGTCTAACCTATTTAATTATTCGAATGTTACTGTTTACAGTACATATATTAGACATTTTCCTATAGCTTTCTTAATATATTTTATTAATCTTTATTAAAGTATTACTGACGATATAAATTATTTACTTGAATTCGCGATACAAACTGATTATTATTATGACATCAATTGAAGGTTCTAGTTATTTATTATAAATGATATATTTAGGTCAATAAAATTGATGCTCCAGAAATTCGTTTATCTTTTGTAATACCTATTATATTTTACATACACAAAAAATTATACAATCTCTCTTTGGATTTTTTTAAAGATCGACTTGTATACTGCTTATGTTGAGATAGTAACTGCATTTGAGTCACATTATTCGTGACTTCTGAGACTGTACATATCATCAATGTTCTTGCGTAATAATATACCGTCGATTTGAACTAATTTGAACTCTATTGTTCGAGACGCGTTCGAAATTTTCGTTCAGAGTATTTTAGCGTCAAGGTTACTTGATGTAACAGTTTATTATCTGACAGTTAAATGAGAACAAAATCTAACGTTAAGCAATTTTAAACACGAATTTTGTACCAATTATACATGCCTAATTCGATCAATCGAAGGGTAAATTTTTTGTCTACAGTTTGCAGTAACACATTAAAGATAAAATAGATAAAATTCTTATTTTATTGCTGGTGGACATCTATTACTCAAACTAAACGAGTACAAACATACAAAACGCATCAATTGAATTAAATGTTTTTCATTTTTACATTAAATAGAAAAATGTAAACGTTATTAAATGTGTGCTTAGTATGATTTAATCCATAAACATTTATTTACAAGTGTTTAACCATTTCTCGAAGCTGAAGAACCGAAAGACATTTCGGTCGATACACTAATTGATATCAAAATCATGGCCTCGATAACATTGTGTGCTCGAAGATTGTGATTTTCGTCAGTCTTAACTGGATCATTTTTTGCCGGATTTCTTTATGCCGCCCGTGACGAGAGGTCCCCTTTGGCTTGCCTTCTTTGCAGCCTCGGCGAGTGCTTTCTGTTGTTCCTTCTGCTTTTGCTTGTACGCTAGGTCTTCGTCATCCAAAACTTTCGAATCCTTTTTCGGCGCCTTAAGGGGCTTCTTCTTACCGCCCTCACGACTCGACATTCTAAAAAAATATCCATAATTCAAATTATGCATAATAAAATTATCCATCATTTTAAAAAGAATCTTCCATGTGTATCTGTACGAGAAAAATCACGATAAAGAATATCCAGAGATCTAACTTTGAATGTCAAACATCAAACAATAACGAATTAGAAGACACCGTTCTTCGAAAACATAACCTATAAATATATCAAATACAAACTAATAATAGTTCGCGAAACGTTTAGAACTGTTACACATATTTCATTTGTACGATATAAGAAATAGTGACATACTATGAAAAACAATTTTAAATTAATTTAACGCACACAATATGAAATTATTCGAAGATCCTGAACGGCACATGGAAAGTACTTTGTTCGAGTTCAATTGTATCACCCCGCTTTTAATGTAGTTGAAATTAAATGGTTTCGATAATTTCGTTTACCTCAAATCACAATCAAATTTTCCAAATAAGACTCCCAACAGCCGTAAAAAATACAGTACGTCAAAACCTAATAGTTTGCATCAGACTGATATCCAGTGCGAGTCAGTGCGATTATACTGGAGTATGCGAAACTGAAATTGAAGATTGTGCTGCTCCCTATGAACAAGTGAGTGTGAATCTTTGCTCATCGCCGTTGGCGCCACTTTCTTGACCAAAGAATCTGTGCAGATGATAATCACAATTCTACAGGAATTAATATAACAAAATTGTGGAGCACAAAAGAAAACGTAAATAAAATAATCCAGCTACTTAAATATGGACCAACATCTAACATCGGAGAAAACTTCATAAGAAACTATCGCTAATAACCAAAGGTTGATGCGACATTAAATATGTAATAAAAACAAAAAAAAAAAAGATTAAATTTTAACAAACGAATTAAAAATTGCCATCGTTAATGTTATTTCTTTTATTATGATAGTTTACGATGAATTGTACAGTAATATTTTTCAAATTATCTTCTTTTTCCGTAAATCTTCACATATCGTTTTTCATATCACAACATATTTTGTTATTGCACACTTCATATCACTGTTTAATAAAATCGCGTCTAATGTCTTTCTTTTTCAATTCCCTACTTTTTTCCTTACCTACATATTAGTCTTTCTTAATCTTCAATCCCTTATTTTACCTTAAACTAAAACCAAAACTAAAGTATAACTACTTTATTCATTTCCTCATACCAATTGAATTTTCCTTCCTTCCTTTCTTCTTTACATATTAGT